TTTAATAAGTTATACTTACGTAAAATTATTTATAATCTTGAATTTTGAATAATATACATCAATAAACAAAATTTTATATAAAAAAATAATTTTTAAAACTTTTTTATCAAATATTTTATAATATAATATAAATACCCAATTATTACTACTACTATTAATAATAATAAAAATAAAAATAAAAATAAAAAAAGAACATGGAGGAAATTTAAAATGTCTTCGCCCCTCTCTGGAACGCACGTAAACCAGAGACCACGTGGCAAGTGTGTCTGATGCTCATACTTATCGTGTCCGTGTTTGTATGCGTCTTCTTTCATTTCATTCGAAATTCAACCCCATTCATGAAATTACAATAATCATCCTCCATTTTTTCTTCATATGCCACTTTAGTCCAATAATATTTTTTGTGTTTTCTCAATACCTTTATCCATGACACCACAGTTGTCATATGAATTTGGATATAAACGTTCAGATATCCTCACAGAACGGATCGGATCTGGGAGGATATTTTTGTACTTGTATTATAGCACACAACCAAACAAAATTGTAACAGTGTTAAAGACCTTATACTATATCTGAAAAAATTCACATGAGAGAAAATTTGACAAATCACGTATTCAGCCATTCCACCTACTCGTAAGAAATTTAATGGTCTATAAACAGCTTGGTTGAATAACAGTATTTGAATTACAGTGGTTATGTTTTTCATATTAGTTGTTGAAGTTTCCTTTTTTTAGGGGAGCATACATCCAATATACTCATTAAGCATGTTCACATATCTTATTTATTTAGTATATTATGTTGTATATTTTCAAGAAAATCTTATTAAAATGCAGACATATAACTGAATCAATTAGGTTACAGACCTCGTTTAGTGGTGGCAGTAACAAAAGCCATTGTTTTTCGTGATTACGTTTATTTTCTTTGTTTGTTTGGTTTTCCAATCTATCGGGTCCTGAACTCTTATGCATGAGTAAGAATCCTAACATTTAGTATCCCAAATAAGAAGACTTAAGGGCCGTTTATTAAATGCTTACCCGGATAAATGCTTACCAAATTACATTACATTAACGGATGAATATGGTAAGGACCAAAAATCTTACCTGGTAAGTGAGGGCAACGACTCTTACCACGGTAAGTGCTTACCGGGTAAATTGTTGCATACGATGTCGTTTGATGGACTAAAAATCTTACTCGATAAGTAAATGATAGTGTTAATTTTGTCGGTAAATACTTACTACGTAAGTGTTTGGTAAACAGCCCCTTAAAGCAGTTTAAGTAAAGAGAATATAACATGTAATGATATGTGATATATTTTTTATGCAAAAAGCTAAGTACGGGAGGTATGAACCATAGAACAAGTGGAAGGTAAAAAAGAATAATAATTCCACCATGCTTTGTTTTGACAATAATATCCTTTTAATTACGAAATAAAAGAATATAAGAAAAAATCTGATTGGACAAGTTTTCTTTTGACTATAATATCATTATAATTTAAAAAAAAAAGAGAAATTTAGAAAATCGATTAAATACCGAAGCTTTATTTTCAAAACAACTCAAAATTTAAATGTATGTGTTATATACGAGTTTTGAACTAAAGGACTTTAGAGGTTGTTTAGCTCGTTTTCCGTTAAATCATGTATGGATAAAGTTATCTGTATGATATAAAATAAATTGTTGTTGGGTTGTTGTGGTAAATAAATGGTCTGAATATCATAAATGACCATTAATTATTAAAAGATTAAAAAAAGATAAGATAACGAACAACTATTAACTATTAAAAGATTAAAAAAAGAGGATTTAATCGCAGAAAACACAAAGAAGAGCTATACCATGGGAGATGAAGAGATGAACAACGTGAAAATGATCGACGACGACCATAGAGAACTTCAAGCGATGCGCTAAAGAAAAATCACAAGGTTTTTTTTTTGTCTTTCGAGTCTCTTTTGTTTTAATTTAAAGACTTTAACATAAGGATAGTTGTAGAATATTAATGACTCAGTCCATATGACTTAATGTTTTTTAGTTGAGCGAATAAACACTCGGCTGAATGAATAAAATATAACCGCACAACTTCCTATATTGGTTTGAATAAGATATAAGGCTTATATAAGCACATGCTTATATAAGCACATTAAGCCACAAACGAACAACCCCTTACACATATGCCTTATATAGGGACCTAATTGAGAAAAAAAGATTCAATTAACAAGTGAAATACAAAAAACTTTTGTCAAGGGACCAAAACTATTAATTAATGAATAGTATATGGACTATTTATGATAATTCATTCAAAGGCACAAATCCTAACCCAGAACACCATTGTCCCTTTCCAACAAAAAAGGGCTCTCCCTATCTCCAACCATCTTCGAGGAGTTCCATAAATTTAGGGTTCCTCATATTTTCTGATCATTCCAAGTGATTTTTTCGATAGACCCGTTTCTGTATTTAAGCTCTTGCTGGATTAATGTTTATATAAACAGTGAATTGCTTTTAATCTTCCGAATTCAGTTCATCTCCTCGCAGACTTCAAAATTTAAATTATTGGTGTTGCAGTTCCTGAAAATTTAGCCACTTTGATAAGCCACCCGAATTCAGGTTCGTTTTCATGTCTGTAGCTTTTGTTTCTCGCTTGCGTCAATTTTTTCTCTTTTCTGAATCATGATCTCGTTGGTGGAATATCTTAAAAGTCGCACAATAAATAAATGCTTTGGTTCTTTCAGGTTTTTATTGGGTGTTTATACATATCTCTATAGATCAACCAATAACATTTCTTCGACATTGTGTAAACCGTGTTGGTAATTATCTCGGGTTTAGGCAAAATTTCGAATTTTAGCCTTTTTCCAATCAGCTTTTAAGGCTGATTCATGAACACAATGATTGCTTTTTAATTAATGAAAATAACATTGATCGATTGTAGTTAAAAGTTAATTCATTTGGCTTCAAATCTGGACCCCAATTATGTGCTCTGTCACGGAATATATTGTGTAATTGTTGTTCAGGATTATTGAGACCCTCCCTTGAAGTTTATCTTCATTGGAGTGGTCAAAGTTTGGAAATCAACATCAAATAACTGGATTGAAGATGAGAAGAGCTTTTGGGCCGATTCGATCGGCTTTTAGATATCATGGAGATAGAATGCCAAATGGGGTAGCAAAAAGATGGTCGTTATTGAATATAAATAATGCAACTTTTGAGAAATCATCTTACAAAGCATCTATATGCAAGTATGGCCACCCGTGCTATATGTTTTCTAGAACTATGTCTTCTGATGCTGCTCAACTGAACTACAAAGGTAATTAAATGTTCCTCTTTGAATTTAATTTAGTCATAGATTCATGTTAAATATTGAATGCAATTGGGGTGTATCCATGACACAAGTAGAGAGAGCAGGGCCTCTTGTGGAGTATGAGCGAAGAATTGGAGCTGGTGACCTTGAAGATGGAGATAATTCCCAGGTAACTTGTCAAGTATTTGACTATTTGTAAAATGTCTAAAGCACGTATTAGCATCCACCAAAAAGGGAATCTTGAGGGACCAAATCGATGTTTTTTGCAATTATGATGTTGGGTGCATAGGCAGTTGTAACTTTGAAAACATCCCATATATGGAAATGTTTCATGGGCTGTTCGGGAGCACAAGTCTGCATCGAGGTGAAAGAATTTGAGTTTTACTTGAATCAAGTCCTATTTACTCCAAAAATATCCAGTTGATTTTGCCTTCAATTTACGTTGTAGTTCCAAAAATACCCGTAACATGCTTCACCTAATCAGAGGGAAGACACTATCTACTGGAGATTGTTGAGTTGATTATAGAACTTTGATCAGAATCTACCACTATAGAAGTTAGATTATACATTGAAAATCAATTGGGTGTCTTTAAATGGGGTTAATGTTTGAAAATAAACAGAACATAGATCTTTTTTTATAAATGTAGAGGCCAATTCTATGTTGTATCAAGAAACAAAACTTGAGCTGTGTTTTTATTCTCCTTCTTCAGACTGCTTTCTTACTGTGCTTTTGCAGATAGGCACCTTAAGAGAAATTCAAAGACTCTATGATGAGCTTGTTGAGTCAGCTGATGCCTGTCGTTTGGATCGTTATTCTGATTCTGGGAAAAGTGGGAGGTAAATATCGTTACTACTCCATCCACTCATAATCAAAATGCACTTCTGATTCTAAAACTCAAATGAATTACTTTCCAAATTCAAAATACTCGACATGGATTCTTTTTTTTATTCAGTTCCAAAATGTTTCTAATGCAAACACAGTTTTATCAATTTAACAACTCAAAATCAATTCAACATTATAATTTTGAAGTAAAAGAAAGTCAAACTCTTTACTAAAACCAAAAGGGAGTGGGACTGTATCTTTTCTTATCATATCAAAAAAGTCACAGAGCTTCATTTTCATTGTTCTATTATATGCGTGCTTTGCCTTCAATTACTCAACGTTTTATTTTCAATTTCAGGAGAAGGTGGTTATGGTCGCGTCTCATGCCTCAATCTTCAGTCTCACCAGTGAAAGGACTCTATCTGTATGGAGGAGTCGGCACCGGGAAAACCATGTTGATGGATTTATTTTATGATCAATTGTAAGCATCGGATTGCACCTTGCTAGATTTCTCATTTCAATGTTGGTAGACATGTAAACTATATGTAATTTGGAAACATTATAAAATGTTTAGTATCACGTTGATTTAGTCTTTTACACGCATTTTTGTTTTCTTGTTATCAGGCCTTGCGATTGGAGGAAAAAGAGGATCCATTTTCATGACTTCATGTTGAATGTCCACACTCGCTTGCAGGTAAGTTGATTATAGAACTACTTGCCAATTCTGAATTTGAAGATACCATTTGACCTCAAAACACTTTCGGAACAACAGAGTATCATTGGAATGAAATAGCTTAATGGCCTCTATTAATTAAGTATAGTTTGATAATATGGTATTATTTTGCAATGCAGAGGCACAAAGGTGTGTCCGATCCCCTTGAAGTTGTTGCAAGTGAGATATCGGATGAATCCATTTTATTATGCTTAGATGAGTTCATGGTATGTTAGAGCTTAATCCATTCGTTATTCCCCTGACCCTATCTCTGGGTGGGAATAAATTGGGTCCGTTTGGTTTATTTACCAACCACTAGGGACGAACCTTGGTGACCAGAAGGTCATAGTCACCGAAACAAGGAGTCTTGGTGCACCTGGGTTTCCTTTTTATTTATCTAAGGTCATTGATTATCACTCCCTTATGATATTAACAGGTTAATGATGTAGCTGATGCCTTAATACTAAACCGCTTATTTGGCCATCTCTTTAGTAATGGTGCTGTAAGTGGTTAACAATTTATCATTTGCGTCCTTTTCCTAGAATTGAAATTCATGTCACTGTTTGGAGTGAAGAAAGCTGACTGGTATTTTTCTTTTCCTGTTTGTGATGGAAGTATAGATACTTGTTGCTACATCAAATCGTGCTCCAGACAACCTTTATGAACGTGGACTGCAAAGAGATCTTTTTCTACCGTTCATTGCCGCACTGAAGGTAACATTGCTTATTGGTTTTAATCTTCCATTTTTCCCTATTTTTCTTGATAATTACCATGTTTTGGTTCTGTGGATGCAGGAAAGATGTGCAATACATGAAATTGGTTCATCCATAGATTATAGGAAAAGGACCTCGGTAAAATGCCAGCTCTTCCACTTTATTTCTGTTAAAATAATCTGAGTTATGAAATCAGTCTTTTCTTTCGCCCACTTTTCACAAAAAATGTGAGGTAGACCCCACTTTCGGATGGGATATACTGGGCCCGTTCTTGCAAAAAATGTGAGGGAAAGATTGCATATAGATCTTTGATTTTAGTTCTTTTTGTTTATTTGTTACTGTAGGCTGAAGAAGGTTTCTACTTCATTAAGAATGATTCGTCTGATTTCCTTATGCAAAAGTTTAAAGATTTGGTTGGGGAACATACGCCTCGTCCCCAGGAGGTGGAAGTTGTTATGGGTAGAAAACTACAGGTGCTTAAAAGATGGTAAAAGGTCATTTCACATATTTTCGGCAGCAATTACTTGGTGTGCATGCTCTAACCTTTTCGTATGGCATAACTATTTCATGCAAATTGTGAGTGTTGGTGCTGAAAATATGTGTAGTGACTAGTATCTTGTTACACCCCATATCTAAGGTGGTTCATATATCTTTGCATATCATTTGGTAGTAACTCTATTTTCTTTTGTTCTTGGCAACGGCTAGGTACCGTTGGGTGCGAATGGATGTGCATATTTTCCTTTTGAGGAACTCTGTGACAAACCTCTTGGTGCTGCCGACTATTTTGGATTATGCAGTAAGTAAACTAATAAATTTGAAATTCTTGAAGAATCTTTTCATTTTCATTTATCGCTTCAAAACCTCGTCACGAGGTTCATCTGTCTTTAGATTATGTGATGGTCAAGATTTTGAGAGAACTCTGTATGTGTTCGATAATAGGTGGTACAATTTGGCTTTTGAAGCCACATTATTTTTCAAGGATGCCCACCTCTTTACCCTTTAGGCTAAAAGCTGCAGGGACTTGTGAAACCACATTGTTCTTACCAGTTAGGCTAAAGCCGCAAAGACTTTTGAAGTCACGTTAAGCGTTATAATGATACTAAAAAGCAGGGAAACATTGATGATAAATTTGCTGGAACATCAATTGAATTTTGCAGTTGGAAATCAGTCTTGTTGACCTAAAAAGTCAAATTCTACCTATATTTTTGGAATTAAAGGAGTAGAATCTTTAACTAGTTTGGCTGCACTGAAAAGATGAATGTCCAAAGGAATCATATCCGTTTAGGGAATTTATCATTTGCACACAGTGGTCCTAGATGATATGCTATGTTTGGCAAACTAGCTGAGAAGCCGACTTTTAGCTGAAGTTGGTCGTTGGCTAATAAGCTAATTGTTAGCTGATAAGATAGTTAATGTGTGGTAAAAACTAGCTGATAAGCTAAATGAGAATATAAACTGATTGGAAAAGGACATTTTGAAATTTAAATTGGAAAAGGACATTTTGAAATTTAAATTGGAAAAATCCCCTTAAAACGTTACTTGAAAAAAAGCTATAGTTTATGGCTAACCAAATGACATCTAATATGTAACTTGTAATGGCAGAGAACTTTCATACATTGGCTCTGGATGGTGTGCCGGTATTTGGTCTCCACAACAGAACAGCAGCCTATCGGTTTGTTACTCTAGTTGATGTTAGTCTCTTTTCTTCTCTATCCGTTGTAGTCACAGGATCGTTCACAATGACCTCAGATTGTAAACGGATATGATCATATACAGGTGATGTACGAGAATAAGGCCAGGTTGATGTGTACAGCTGAGGGGACTTCTTTTGAACTTTTTGAAAGGATTGTGACAATCTCTGATGCTCAAAGTAGGGCGCCTAGAACTTCTTCAAGGTCAAGAAAGAATGACGATTATGACCTTTGTGTTGACAATGAGCTTGGGTTTGCAAAAGATCGCACTATTAGCAGGTATGCCGTGTTTTCTCATTAGTAGTATTTTCATTACTCGATATACAGTTAATCTTTTGAGGTCAAATGTTTGTTTGAATCTTGAACATCCCATTCAAGAAAAGAAATAGTATCTTCATTATTCCGTTTGGTTAATCTTTTAAGTGCGTGATGTGTGGACTGGCATGGCTAGTTTAGTAATTTACCAATTTTGTCCAATAACCCTGAATTTTGTTCCACCTATTTTCGTGGAATAGAAAAGAAATACATTTTTGACGCTAACCTTCCCAGAGTCTATGTGGGACGACAAGTTTTTGTATTAAGGCAGTGGGTTTGACCATTAAAAGTCAAAACAGGGATTCATATATTTGACGAATGAATTCATACAGGTTGACGGAGATGAACAGCAGCGAGTATCTTGAGCAACACGCGGAAATGACAGTAGAGAAGCAACAACGTCAAACTCAAAGGGTTGAAGATGACCACGATCATGTGGTACAAGCGTAGACACGGGTTTCACTTGTGAGGTTTCGTTCCGTTAACAATATTTCTTTATTTTCATTTTATACATCTTTTTCATAAAGTATGAAAAAGGGCCAAGCCTAATTTATACATAACCTTCACATTGAGTTCACAAAAGGGGGAGATGAATGCATCCATATGTAATAATATTGCAACTTTGTGATCTTGAAATAACAAAACCCTTTTCTTCTTGTTGCTCCTGAAAATTTAATTATTTTAGCAAAATTTTGTATGTTTGACAGAGATGATGTAAGGATTGTGTGAGAAGGAGAGTTAATGAGAAGCGTAAGAAGGAATCTGGACCCATGATCATCTTTAATTTCAAGCCTACTTATGAATCGCGCTTGATAGGGGATTGATCCAGTGCATCTCATCCTAACATGCAGAGATCCCTTCTTATGCTTCTCACCTCGACTCTTCTTACAAGAACCCAACCTATATAATCAATAGGTTCTGTTGGTACTGTTTTGAAATTCGATAATTTTTATTTTGGGTTAAACAATATGTTTGCATATACACAATTTGTTCTGTGTTTGGTGTGGTTTTATGTGGGACTAACTAGAACTAACTAGAACAAGGGTGGGACAAGGTAGTCCACCCTTTACCCTTGGAACTAAGTAGAACAAGAAAAAATTTACCACTTTACCCTCAAAAACCTCGTACGCATAATGTGACCGGCTCATACTCCTCTCCTCCATAGCTTCCACCACTCAACCGGCGACTGGTGACGGCGACTTCCGATGGCCACCGCTGCTGCTTCTCCGATGGACCGAGCCAACCGTGGGGTGCCGAACGACGACGGCTGAGGAGATAACGGCGACGCCGATGCGTGGCAGGGTTGTCCCTTTCTTCTTCTTCTACAACCTTCTTCATTAAACTATCATCTTCACCTAGTAACCTTCTTGTATCGTTGCCGCCATGGTTGTCCCTTTCTTCTTCTTCTACAACCTTCTTCATTAAACTATCATCTTCACCTAGTAACCTTCTTGTATCGTTGCCGCCATGGTTGTCCCTTTCTTCTTCTTCTTCAACTTCTTCATCGTCGTCGTCGGCTACTGGTACAGACTCGGATTCCCCCATTAAAAACCTGCAATTTCTCTAATACTCCGATGTTTCGGATCTACCCAGATCAAAATAGTTAAAGAGATGAAGCATAATTGAAAAGAGACACAAGTGGGTTTGTTCTCTTTCTTTCACATAGTTGGTGAACAGCTTATGGAAAGGAAAGGGTAGAATTAACAATAAATGCATATTTAAATAATATAGTTGGAATGTGAGTTTTTTTTTTTTTTGGTATTTTTAAATAGTATTTGTAAATATTTATATTGATTATTTAGTGAAAAAACACTAAACAATTTATCGGGAGTAAATTGGTCATTTTAACCAGTTATTGCGCAAATATTCTTCTAGTATATCTAAATACCCCAAACTGTACACGATAGTTTTTAAATGAATTCTCAAGGAGTTCACCTGTTCCATCTTAGCTTTGATTACTCATATCTTCCAAGATTTAATGCGTAACTTGAGGTTCTTAAGATTACTCATAAAGAATTTGATAGGCTGATCATCTTTGATCTCAAACTCATCTATGAATGACGTTTGATATGGTGATTGATTTGGTTCATTTCAGTGCGTTTCATCTTAACGTACAATGGATCTCTTTTTACGCTTCTCATCTAATTTTTTTTCCTCATCGGAACCCAACCCAATATATGTTGGGTTTACGAGGTGATTTTAGCCTTTAGGAACCCAACCCAATATATGTTGGGTTTACGAGGTGATTTTAGCCTTTAGGACCGGTCCAAGAAAAATCAGTAACTAGTATAACTATAAATTGTTATTTGAAACCAATTTATTCGAATTATTCATTTTTTTAAAATTATGAACTTTTTTTTATCGTATATTAATTATTTTATAACATTATTATTAGCTTATTTTATTTATAAATATTATCTATTTTTGTTTTATAATTAAATTATTTACTATGGTTTTATCACCTTATACCATTAATAGAAATATAAATGTGATGAATTCTTATTTTGAATCAAACACTATTTTATTTATTTGATCATGTAAAAATCATAATCTTTTAACTTGTAATTGAAAGTTGGAACGAAATGATGTAGAAACGAAATTTTTTTGAAACACGAAATAGTGAATTAGTTACCTTTTCTGTTTCAAAATAAGTTTGGATGATTTTATCTGTCTTAAAATAAATGTTTACATTTTTATTTTTTTTTTGTCTCGAAATGAATGTCAATTTACAAGAGTGAATAATCAATTTCTCAAATTTACCTTTATTTAATGCACAAATAATAAAGAATTGTGAAGAGAGAGAAACTAAAATAAGGGTAAAGATGTCATTTGGTTAACAAAAAAAATGTAATAATTATACGTGTTTAAAATTGTGTGTCATTTTAATTGTAGACACTTATTTTGGGACGGAAGAGTAACACTTCGGAAAACAAAGCAATGACATTATGGTAAATAAAGAAAGGTAGAGTATCTCCAATTTATATGTTATATTTTCTCTATTCTTTTAAATTTGGAGTTTTCTCCATTTTTATTTATTTATTTTAAAGGAGAGTTTAACATGTTGAAACAAGTTTTTCTCAAACCTTTAAATTTTTTGAAATAACATACCTGTTACATGCTCTTACAAAAAACAGAAAAAGAACCAAACGGTTAACCAATCATATAAAAGTAACCATTCGATTCTTCTAACTCGATTTACAATGAGTTGGCTATGAAAATTTTGTAACCGGTTGCAAGGGTGTCGGAGAAAACTGAAACTAATAATCCACTCGTATACAATGAAATTTGGGTTAAATGGTTTGGTTTATTCGATTCGGTTATATGAGTTTAACCATTTATGAGTTTTTGGTTTTGGTTAAACGGATTAAAAACTAAAAAGTAGTTAAATTCACATTAATTGGTTTTTGTTTCAGTTATATGTTTTGATTTGGTTCGATTTTCTGTAGGAAATCAACTAAAATAGCCAATTTCCCCAACCAAATTCATTTTTAACCATTTTAGATTAAATTATCATTTTAGTTAGAGTTTATGTAAATGTCTTAAATATTTTTGTAAAGCCGATTTTCAAATTAAGGAAAAAAGAATAAAAAAATCTTTACACAAATTTGAGTGAGGGTTTTTATTTGTGTAATGATTTTTTTTTAATCTAAAAAAATAGACTTTACACAAATACATAAGACATTTACATAAACTTTGGTTAAAATAAAAAATCTAATGCCAAAATGACTAAAAAAGTAAATTTGATTGATAAGATAACTATTTTGATCAATTTCTGTAAATCAAAACAAATTTTGTCCAACAAATCTCATTAAAATATCTTAAAAAGCCTTTCTAAAATAACATCCATATTTGGTTTAAACATAACTGAACCGAATAACCCGAACCTTGTACAGTTTGATTATCGGTTAGTTTGGAAATGTTTAATGACCAAATAAGTAACACCCCAAATCAGTTGGGCCTAACCACAACAACTGGTTCATGACCACACCGATCGACTTTAACGTTAACGCAAATGAAAAAAAAAAAAAAGACACGTTAGAATTGGATCGAAAAGTGAAATGAATAACCGAATCTACAAACGTTGAGACAGCAACATGTCCGATAACAACCAACTACAAAAGATTACCATATATCAACTGCTTCCACATTAAATATAGCCATTGTACCAGATCTCTATATGTATACTCGTTTTTTATGCACAACTACTGCTGAAATGAGATGGAATATGAACCCGTATTTGGATCTTTCACCGCTTTGAAGTTATCCACGCTCATCCCAAATCGCCCTAGAACCGAGTTCCCCATTTCTTTCAACTTCCCTACATACATACCCACGAGTATTAAAAAAAACTTTACACAAGTGGGGGTAAGATGATTACAGCGAAAGCTTACCTAACATCTCGTCCTTCAACTTTTCACGCTTTTCTATGGCCAACGGTTCTAAACGGATGATGCTTCTCCTAGCTTGCTGATTTGAAGGATCTAATTCCAGGATTTTCTTCAGATCTACACAAAAAGAAGAAGAAACCATAAATAAAACTGATACTAAGATGAGTCACAAGATGCCGAGTATTTACCAGCAATAGACTCATCATAATTTTCAAGCTTTTCATGGGCCTCTGCTTTTCTAACTAGCGGTTTCATGTATGTAGGATTTAGTTCCAATGCTTTTGTGCATTCTTTAATGGAATCCTCGTACTTCCCCTGTCATACATACGAGTAAATGTCAAGAACTCTAGTCCCAAAATATAGACATACAATTATATGGTCATAAAGTATAAAATCAGGCAACGAAACCCACCAAAATATAATCACAAGTTTCTTCATTAAATGAAGCTAAGGTCCTAATAACATTCATCAAAACACTACAATCCGGTTGGTATGTAGATGTGAGGACTACTGCATTAAAATTTGTTTCAAGTTAAAGCACAAGATTATATATATATATATATATACACACACACACACACTACAAACAGAAGACAGATAAATACATTTGACATCTTCAGTAACAAAATACAGATTCAGTTATTATTCTGAAACGAAAAATTGTCCAGTCAGCTCCAAAACCTTGATTCCAGCTTGTTGAATGGTGTATGTTAGACATGCAAAACTCTACAATGCCATTATTTTAATATGTTTTAACAAAAGCTCTTAATATTCAATTATTCATTAGTTTTATCACTCTCCTTTGCCTGCTCTTCATCCTATCCTGCTTACAAAATACTTGATAGCAATGAAAAGTGAGGAAGATCAAAAGAAAACCTGTAAGCTAGGAAGTTATGCTTTTTCTCCGAATATTTCCCATGTTACCTTACATGCTCAAATCTCCTTCAGGTGAATTTGTTTGTTAGGTCATTCTCCATTAGGGTTTTGTTATGTATATATGGTTAGATTAGATATGTATTTAACAGTAGCTTAGGCCTTGATCAGGGTGATTTGTTATTATTCTGTTTTACTTACCGAGATCTGATATGGGTTATTAAATGGGAAAATAAATAAAATTGTAAATTGAGAGGCTTGTTCTTAACGATCCTCTGATTACATTGGGGCCTATCCGATAACAACTGAATGACGGCAAAATTATCAAAGATTGAGATTCCTTATTGAATCCTTGTCTTGGAATAGGAATAAATGGAAAAAGAACAGATTGACATTGGAGCAATCTGATCCATCCTCAGAGATTAGTCTTGAACCCGACTGACTTTTCCCTTTTTCCGGTCAAAATAGGTGATTTCACTAAGTTGATTATTGGCAGATCTCTACTTAAACCATTTGTCCTTATTTCAACAAGGAAAAGCACAAACCTTTTCAATCGGAGAACTTTTCTTTGTCTTGCTCCTAATTCAACACTAAACAAGTCCGAACTAATTGAATTCTTGTGTCCCAAATTTCTCCCATGAAGTACACCATACACTGTACACTTATACTCAGCATTTCCCCTCTTGAGAAAATATACAACATTACAAATACTTTTACGGTACCAATGCCATCACTGGCTGTGATTACTAAACCCTAGCCACACATAGCAACTGCGGCCTATGCCACCATCGTTGTTGCTGCATTCGCCAACTTCGGTTCTCCAATGCTCAGCACCCTACTGCTACCCTGATGCCCAGCAGTCAGAACGCACCGCACTTAACAACTGTCTCCATTTTCTGTCACAGTGTCTCAAATAGCAGTCGCCGCAGCCATCAGCCGTCATAACTGCTGCCTGCCGCCACAACCAGTCGCTGCTGCACAGCTGTGCCACCAATCAATATGTTCTCTCTTTTTTTACTGCTGCCAGTACATTGTGGGTTTTTTGAGTTTATCTGCTGTCACAGATTGCAAAGATGACTATTTCAAGGCCGTTGAAATTCTGCATCCCGTGTTCCAAACTACACTCAAACTCAGTTTTGCAGATCCCACTCTTGTACATACCAGGCACAGTGGTCATTCTTGGTAAAACGCAACCTTGGCAGTATAATGAAGGGTTTCATTATCTATTCACGGTTAGTTTAGGATATAATTTAGTGGTAATTTAGGATATTGATTTAGACTTCGATTAGGGTGATTTGACTTTAAATTGATTATCTTTCCCCATACTCTCCTACGATGTACACTCTATAATCACAATATTCCCCACTCAATGAGATACACAACATTACAACCCAAATATTTTCAATATTATTGACGAGTTGTTTTGGAGAATTTCAAGGACATGTGCATCAAATCATCAATATAGTTCTTTATTTCATATGTCTAAGGATTATAATGCAACAAAACATAAGACCCAAAATAGCTAGCAATAACAGAAAGAAATTCAAATGAAGTTGATCACAACTACTCAACAAGTGAATGCGAGAAGCATGGTTTTAAAAATCAGTCAAGCATACGTCTCGAAGCGTCCCCTCTGCTGGTGAATTTGAGGTGTACGCCTTAAATGGTTGAAGCGAATGAGGCGTGGAAAATTTATGGGCTGTAATCTCTATATGTTCTTATAAATGCAACCCTAAACGGTCTCTATCTCTCCTCTCACCCCTCACGCACTATTCTCCCCTCCCTCACACAGTCACACTTCTCCGTATTCGCTCGCTCACGATTCTCACCATGATGGTGGTAATGGTCATGAGAAAGAGGAGCATTTAAAGAGTGCAGGAGGCAAAAGAGAGGAGAGAATTGTGGTCATTTCTGCACCCTCATCCAACTACAGGAGGTCGAGAGGTGGGAGATAAGATTGAAAACTTGTAGCAGAGTTACTCCCAAATTAAAGTAAATTACCTAAATCACCCCTAATCAAATTACTGAAATATTAATTTGATGTGCGATTATGTATTGTTTGCTATGAATTTCATAATATTTTATGAATTTCTTTTGTGTTTATTGTTGAGGGCTGAGGCATACACCTCGCAGTATTAGGGGAAGCCACCTCACGTCTCGTTTTCGTCTTTCAAAACATGGTGAATGGGAAAAATTATCTTTATAGCTTTCATGTTAAGTAGCAAAAAGTTCTACAGATGCACCCCAGCAGTTTATGTCCAAGTTCTTTAATATGCAATCTTCTACTCACACTGAATTTTACTTACGTTAGCAGGCACCACTTAAAGGCACGTGTCTACGGAAAATTTCTATTCACCGCCATCAATTAAAGAAAACATAAAAAAGGTTTCACCGATCTAAATTCTGGAAGAAAAACTTTGCAACTACAAAATCTACTCATGATAGTTAGTAAGATGAGAACTTACCAGCTTAAAGAAACACGTTGCACGATTATTATGGCATATTGACCTAATTTCGACAGATGAGGGCATCTGAGGTGCAAGTTGTATCGCGTAATCGTACTTCAGTAAAGCTTCATCATACAAACCATCTCCAAATAATTTATTGCCTTCAACTTTTGCCTCATTCATTTGTACTATAAGTTCCTGCATCAGATAACGAGTGAGATGAAATGGTTCCACTTTAAGGAGCTCCTCAGACAGACATACGAGGATAGCCCACAACTGAACAAAATGAAAACAAAATTTAAAGTAAAACCAAATACAATTTCTCTGTAAGAGATTAAGAAGGATTAAAGAAAAACAGATGATGAATGTACGGATATAACAAATCAAAGACTTCCACAAACACAAAAAATAGCCTCAATTTTTGTTTTTGTTAAAGCAATTATTCTTGTCACATGAAAAATTGCAATGGTTGAGCTTACACATGGCACTAGAAGGATTAGCAAATGACTAAAAAAAACCATCCATCAAGCCAAAGTAGGGGAATCTGGGAAGGGGAGATCAAGTCGTACTTTTCAAGTTAAAATAAAAATATGTGACCAAAATGAATGTCATATCTACTTCTCTATAATGACTAGAAGGAACTCCATTCTCTCAGCTAGATAGTACAAACTTGATGCCGCAACTAAAGCAGGACATCATGTGCCAAGAATTCAATTTTGCAAACACAAGGGTTAGACAAGTTACTGCAAGAATATCTTTACCACAAGTTGCTGATGTTTCAAATACAGCCTTCATACTGCTTCACCTTTTCATAACTAGCATGAAGCATGTGTTTAAAAAAAAATAAGAACATCTAAAGGCACGGGCAACATAAGACGAGCAAGCAAAATCAACCGAAAATCACAATCAGCAGCTAATTCGCAATGTAAATGATTCCGAAAACAAAATCTAGGTATTACACCATTGTACAAAACCGAAATTAAGAAATTAACCTACATGATAACCAGCAAAAAGTTCAAGTAATAACCAAGCCTAAACAAGCAAAGTATGCGAATAACCTCATAAGTGAGAAAGAGTAGACCTGCTTAAGTTTGTCTTCGTTGAGCCTATCTTCATAGGACTGATCCTTCGAATTCGATGCCACAGACACTTCTACCGGTTGGTGTTCTTGATGTTCAACGGTATCGTTTAAATTGTTATTATCATCAGAGACAGTTTCGTCATCGCCAACTTCAGTCTCGCTTGCGGTTTCGAAACCGTCGGATGCGTATCCGTCGTCAGCTGCTTTACCGTCACTTTTGGAATCTACTCCGGCAGCGTTCGCTTGATCGCTACTGCCCATATCTTCTCTGCCGGCGGCAGCGGAGGTTGATGTTGACCTTTTTGATTCGACAACCGTAGAAGGCACAGGCTCAATCACCACCATTTTCAACTTCTCCCAAGAGGAAATCTCAAAATCCCAATCGACGGCGCGAGATGTTTCCCGTTGATTCGAGAAACAAATTTAGGTTTATACATTTTCCGTATGTTTCACTTCAACCCCATATAGTTTATCTAGAAAGTACTTTTAGTATCTTTAAGTTTCACTTCAACCGGATATATATTTAACACTTTTAATATTCATAAGTTTCATTTCAACCCCATATAATTTAACCAGAAAGCATTTTTAGTACTTATAAATTTCACTTCAATTTCATATGGTTTAACACTTTTAATACCTATAAGTTTCACTTCAACTCTATATGGTTTAACTAGAAAGCACTTTTAGTATCTATAAGTTTCACTTCAATCCCATATAGTCTAACCATAAAGCACTTTTAGTACCTATAAATTTCACTTCAACCCGTATAATTTAACCATAAAGCATTTTTAGTACCTATAAGTTTCATTTCAACCCCATATAGTTTAACACTTTTAGTACTTATAAGTTTCACTTCAACCTCATATAGTTTAACCAGAAAGCACTTTTAGTACCTATAAGTTTCACTTCAACCCCATATTGTGTAGCACTTTTAGTACCTATAAGTTTCACTTCAATCCCATATAGTTTAGCACTTATAAGTTTCACTTCAACCCCATATAGTTTAACCAGAAAGTACTTTTAGTACCTATAAGTTTCACTTCAACCCCATATAATTTAACCAGAAAGCACTTTTAGTACCTATAAATTTCACTTCAACCCCATATAGTTTAGCACTTTTAGTGCCTATAAGTTTCACTTCAACCCCATATAGTTTAACCAGAAAGCACTTTTAGTACCTATAAGTTTCACTTCAACCCCATATAGTTTAACTAGAAAGCACTTTTATGTGTTCTTCAATTAAATATTTGTCCTAAAAATAGTTGCAAAAAAGAGTTAGAAAACGATGAGTCATATAAAACAACATAACTATATCTATATTTATACAAACAAATAGAAGATGTGTGTAGATAATATAATCGGACTATTTAGACCATTGACCTTAAATGTGATTTTTATTAACAACATAACCGTCTGACAAGTTTTGTAGCATTTTGGTGTATTGAAGTGATATTCTGATATATGGAAGTGGCATGCTAAAATCTCTCATAAGGTCATGGATTTAAATATTATAAATTTGAGAAGGTCGTTCTACCGAGGGACTCGTAGATAACCATATAAATAAGAAAAACCATATAAAATGCATGAAATTTATCGTATAAATCTTTTATGTATTCAATAAAATAATGTGTTTATTTTAGAACTTTTAGAAAACTTAGCATTTGTAAAGAAAGAAAAAGAAGAATTTAATATGAATAATTAAAGTTTCAAATGGATAATTGAGGTTCGAGATTATATCAAATTTTATTTTAAAAGTTTGAGAGGGAGCAAATGCCACTTCTGGCTCCAAGGTGTCTCCGCCAATGCCTATTAGATAGAACATTTACGACATTATGAGAAATTTTTTGCAACGTATTACGTGCATATAAATGATTACACAACCAAATAAGAAGCGCTGATTAATTCGTATCAAGTTTAATATGCGGTTGATCGGTTATATAAGTTAGGTTTCGACTTCGAGCATAGGCGCTAGAGATGGTCAAAGTGAGCTCGATCCAGTCGAGGACCGATTGGGACTCCTACAAATTGGTTACAACCCGACAATCCAAGATCGGCTACAAATTTTATGAAAATTCAAGGTCCAGCCCATCCAAGCCGACCTATGAAATTTATTTAAGTTTTTAAAAATTATAATACAGAATTTTGTTTTTCAAGAGTAAATTACATTTTTCGTCCTTCGTTTACGACTGTCTTTTGGTTTTTGTTTCTACAATTTGTAAAGTACACTTTTGGTCCATTGTTCATGTTTCATAGCCCAAAGTACTCCCTCCTGGTAACACCATTAGAGGAAGCCTCGTTAAGTCAGTCATGTGCCCTCACGACTCACGTAAAGAGCATTTTAGCCTTTTACCTTGATCTTTTTCCTTTTAAAAGATAAAAATAAAATTGTACCAACTTCTCCTTGAAGTCTACACACGATGAAAACCCTAACCCATTCCCTTAGTCGGGCCCCACTTCTCTGTCACTAGATCAACGCCGCCACCAGTCGTCGCACCACCACCACTCGAAGAATGAATTTGAGGTTAGTTGCTTTTGAAACAAGGGTGGGCTCTATTTGTTGATCCATCTTTAACAACTTGTAACTGACACTATCCCCCTTCCCTTACAGCTTCCCTCCCCCGTTACTGCCTCATTCTTTCTCTTATTTTCCTTCCCGGCACAACAACAATCCACACCGAACTCATATGCATATCTACGTCAATCCACCTCGAACTCAGATGCATATCTACATCACATCAAACTCAATTTGGTGAGAAGTGTTCGAGGATTTTGATTTATTTAGGGTTTCAATTTTTTGTTTTAGAGATTTAATTCAAGTCTGGCAGGTTCGAATGTGTTCTTGATTTACAATGTTTTTTAGGGTTATTTTAGTGTTTTGATCCAGATTCAAGTCTATATCATGGTTTTTTAAGTTTTTGATTTACAATTTGTTCTTGATGTTCTTGAAACATTAATATAAGGATTTGATCTTTCATAAGTTATGTAACACCAATTTCTTTTAATAAAATTGTATAAATATATCTATTTGGGTTTTTGATTTTGTTTTCAAGAAATGGATTTAGGTTGTGTTTTATATGTTCTTGATGGCATATAAAGATGATCGGATGGGCTAAGAAGATGACTGAAGATTGAAACTTGTACAATAAAAAAAGCATTGAAGATTAGCTTGGCCTAAAAAGATTAAAATGCCCCTGTGATGAACTTAAAAGAGCATTCTCTAACGACGTTAACGAAAGGGACTACATTGAGCTACGAAACACGAAAAACGGACAAAAAGTGTATTTTACGAATTGTAGGAACGAAAACCAAAGTAGAAAACTATGTAAGATGGTCTTCATGCAACATGATCTACTCATTCCATCTTGGCGTGTAGAGTTGGGTTGGAGCCATGACTCAAAATCTGGTGGAGTCACGGGCTCACTCATGGTCGAGAGAGAGAGAGAGAGAGAGAGAGAGAGAGTAATTAGGTTTTTATTTTTTATATTTTAAAAGGATAAATTTCTTATAAAAAATGACCAACATGCCTCCAATCATGCAGTTAAGCAAAAATTCTTTGATGTGTTTGTTAACAGCTTAATAAGCTGTTAACAAACACGCATCAAAGATTCCAGATAGTGACTTAATGATCAAATTGTGACTTAATAAACTTAATGAGCTGTTAGCAAAAATTTCCGGATCCATTGACAATTAAAACGAATCTACACAAATCATAGGGTGTTTAAAATATTTACCTTGTGGTTGAAATTGAAACTTTGATGTAGCACTAAGAAACCAAATCAAGTTTCCTCTATTAGCTGTCCACACACGAACACGCTTGGAACTCCCACCAGGTGCTAGTCCAAAGAATCCTAATTCTATAATTGTATCGTAAGGGTTTTGAGGCTACAACTAGTTATCAGAACTCAATCATCTGCTTCGGTTTAGCCCCTAAGCTTATTTATATGGTCAGTCTTCGAGATTGACCATAACTCTTAATAAGTCTTAATCATTACCTAAAATGATTATTTATTTATCTAATAATATTTTATATAATTATCTAAAAACATTTAAGATAATTACATACATATTTATAGATTAAACTCTGTAATTATAATAATTACAAAACGGTACACATGTTTAGATTCTTTCTTTAGTGGAAGCATACATGTTCTTTGTGTGCGACCCTTTAGGTTTACATGGCTCGTTGGCAGTGTATCTGGGTGACACGTGTCGTGGGTATAACATACAAGTTAATTATCCCACTTACACATGACACATTGTAACACAAACAGTGGTAAGTGTCTAGCAACACGTTACTGCCCCCAACGCTATGTAAATATGCTTTTCTTCTAGAAATTTGATTGATCCAATCAATCATACACTGGAGTCATTCATCATGCCTTTGCTTCACGACATTTGAATTGAACTTCTAAGGCATAGATCTTGCTCATCCTTTATAGTTCAAAATTCCATTTCTTGATCCTAACACGTCTTGATTAGACTGGTGCTTTTGGTTCAACCAATACATCAGTCCATAGCCATGTCAATCAAATTGTGTCATCGAGGGGCCCAAAAATATTTCTCTCATCTTGAAAGGAGCAAATCCCATTTTGCATGTACACGACTTATACACTATCTATGTTAGGCCCAACATAGTCCTTATGATCACCCGGTTAAGGGTAACTTTAAACTATATCAAAGCACAACATTTTTCATGCATTGGGTACCGATGTACATCTCAGGTCTAAGGATAAGAAAGTTTACTTATTTCAGGACTCACCTTATGACGTCGATCTATGAGGTGATCCTGACCGTGGGTCTTATCTAACACTTGTCCCCGACAAGTGCATGAAACTCTGGTTGCACTCATTGTGCTTCCAACTTGGACTATGACCAAACTTTCACAATGACCTTGATTTATTACTAGTCCCCTAGTAATAATTGGTCAAGGACAATTCTAAATAATATGATCATTATTTTATTTGAGGATACTTAAACGTGCAAAAATTGAACACAATAATGTTTAATGCAAACACCCATATCCAATATGCCAAAACATATAAAACATAACTGTTTCGCATTCAAATAATTAAAGTCTACTACTAAGATCCATTACACTAATGTATTACAGAACCTCAAGCCTATCGAACTAGTATGAGCATCATGCTTGTTTTGAATCAAAGGCTTGGTGAGAGGATCTGCTGGATTTTCTTTTGATCGAACTTTGCATATCTTTACATCACCTCGATCAATAATTTCACGAATCAGGTGATATCTTCTTAGTATATGCTTAGAGTGCTGATGTGACCTTGGTTCTTTTGCTTGAGCTATGGCACCCTCGTTGTCGCAATAGATCTCAACAGGGTCACATATGCTAGGAGCTACCCCAAGGTCAGAGATGAATTTCTTCATCCAAACAACTTCCTTTGCGGCGTCTGACGCTGCAATGTACTTTGATTCTGTAGT